AGCGACAACATAAACGCCAATACGGCACGCCCGCCCAGACGACGGGCGGCGACGAGGCGGCAACGGGCCGTCGACGGCGATGACATGGCCGCCAGGAACGGCGCACCAGCCCAGACGATAGACGGCGACGAGGCGGCGACGCGGCGGCGACGGCGAACTACATAGCCGCCAGAGCGGCACACCAGCCCAATTCCTTGGGCCAGATAAGCCATAAGTGCAAGCACCGTTTGGGAATATATATATATATATATACACACATATATATAGACATACGTACATACGTACCTGCATACATCTATGTGCATATTCACGTATCCCCCTCCTGCTGCTCCTTGTCCTGCTCCCTCGTCCTCCTCTTCCTCTTCCCCCCTCCTCCTCCTCCTCCTACTCCTCCTGGTCCTCCCTTCCGCCCGCAGCCTCGCCGCTCTCCTGCGAGGCCAAAGGGTTCGAACCAAAACTCAATGTTTGGAGGAGAAATACAGTCAACCCGTAGAATAAGGATGCGCGGTAAGGTTGCAAGGACCTTGTACGCCCATGCCGAGGCTCTTCGAGCGGGGCTGGCCATCGAAAGTGCCTGAGGATGGACCGAAGATGGCCGAAGAGGCAAGAATGCATGGGTACCCTTGGGAAGCCCATCATCCTTACTTTGCGGGTTGGCTGTAAGCTGAAGTAGGCGGTGCACGTTCCCCGACTCCTGGAGGCCTGACGTAGGCACGCGCAAATGGAGGCCCCATGCCGCCTCACAGCTCCATCGTGCTCCCCCCCGCTGATACGACAACGGTCGTCATGCCCGACGCGGCACCCCGCGTCGACCCAGAATGCGCCGAAGCGCTGGTGACCTCCCCGTCGGCATCCACCGCGAAGGACGACCGGACCGCGTCCGCGGGGCTGGAGCTGAAGACCTCAGCGCCAGTCTGGACGAAGGCGAGGGAGTCGTCGTCCTCCCAGGGCCTCGGGCTCGAGAGCTCATCCTCGCCGTAACACTGCACTTTCGGACGCTGACACAATGGTACCTCCGCCGCTGCCGGAGCCTGCGCCGTGCGGTACAAGTATACCCCCTCCTTCTGCATTAGCGAGAGCGTGACCGCGTCCCCGCCGCCATCCGAAAGGTCTTGCGGGAGCGCATCGTCGTAGAAACCATCCTCGGCCGCGATCGTGGCGAACAGCTGGTCCTGGCTGAGGCCCCCTGGCGCCGACTGCGAGGCGGCCACGAGGCGGAGCATCACGAGGGCGACGGGCATGCTGCCAAACATGGCGAATGCGATAACAGACGTAGCCGTCCGGCCAGGGTCAGGTGGAAGTTTAGAACTTTGGTGGGCGCGTCTAGAATCTGCGAGCTTGAGCCCAAAACAGCACGGATGCATTATTGGTTTTAGCCTGCCCGTTCTCAAGAACCCTTTCCCCACGACAGATACAACACAGGTCCTGATGCAGACGATAATTCCAGCGTGGACCCCAACCAATGACTTGTTGCGATACTCCTGGCGCAATGCCGTCCACGCCGTTTGCGACAATGCAAGGCAGTGCAAAGCAATGCCTTGTAAACACAGCGCGCTGCTAATCGATGCGTGGCAGTGCGCAGCACTGCAGACCAAAGCAAGCAGATGCAAAGCAAAAGTAAAATCCCAGCCGTCCGGCCAGGGTCCGGTGGAAGTTTAGAACTTTGGTGGGCGCGTCTAGAATCTGCGAACTCGAGTCCAAAGCGGTACGGACCTACTTGTTTATCATGGTGTGCTTAGTTTCGATAGACCTGTCCCTAAGACGGAAGGAAAACTGGTCCCGACGATGACGCGAGTACTGAATGCAATACTTGTGGTGCAGAATCATCCAAGCGATGGCCCATGCGCGACAGTGCAGGCCAATGCAAAGCAAATCACTGTAAGCTGTAAAGCCGTGCGCAATTAAGTCATACAAAGCACTGCAAAGCAAAGCCAAGCAAAGCAAACGAGTGCAAAGCAAAAAGCAAGTGAAAACTCCCAGCGGCACAGGGGGCCCTATGTGCGCCAATCATTGCGCAATCGATGGTGCAACCTGCTGCTCCCAAGAGTTGCCGCCGCGCAGGGGACCCATGCGCCTATATGCGCTGCTCGATGCGCAATATATGGCCCAACAGGTAGTTCCCGCCGGCGCAAGGAATTCTATGGGCGACAACCCGTTGCGAAACGTAGTAACTAACGCATTGGCACCTGAGAAGGTCCGCTGGCTCAGTGGGCTGTACGGGTGGGAACGTGTTGCCCACTCGGGCTAAAAACCCACTTCTGGCAACTCCATCACCAGTTCTTTAGAGGACAAGCAAGAAACCCGAAGTACAAGCATTGTTATGCGCATTACGATTCAAGGGCAAGCTGGAGCCCCGAATCCTCCTCCTCAATCTCTTCTCCTAGTCAGGCGCACTGCTGGACCAATGCTCTTACAGCTCGCCCACCAGACGTTGGCCCAAAACTGCGCAGCCTCGACCTGGCGTGTATCTTGTTTTGCGCGTGCATGTTCGATGTTCGCCAAGATGGTATCTCAAGGACGCCTGGCAGCACACATTCTCATAGGTAGAAGAGGTAGAAGAAGAAAAACAAATTGTAAACTTTTGTTGGCGCTCCGCGCGGATTTCTTGAATCCGCTCTGGACCCCTCTCCCCTGCTCGCGGAGCGCGCCAGGGGCGGCGCCGGAGGCACCGCCGGGGGGCCCCAGCGCGGATCCAAGAAATCCGCGCGGAGGGCCAAAGTAATATGTTTATGGCGTTTTTGTATGTTGTTGTTGTTTCTTCTTCTTTCGAAGCACGCATTCTCATAGGTGTAATCGTCCTCGTGTGCTTGCACCAAGCGATGCCACACTGTGCTCCACGAGGGGCTGCCGCTCGGTGGCCGCTGCGGGCGCCCTCGTACGGCCGCCCCCCCGCGATGCGGCGGGGCTCCGCGGGTCTTCGCGCAGGCCTCCCCCCCCGTGTAGAGGGCAAAAAATCCACCCCCAGAATAACCACCCCGCTAAACGAGGGCGTTTAGCAAACGCACTCAAAGAAGGAATCGACCAGGGCAGGGCTGCTTAGGAAACGCCCATGGCCGTTTCGCACACGCCAGGCCGGGTCCGGGAGGTTTTTCCTCCTTGACCGTGGCCGCCCCTTGTGCTGGCGGGTCTCCTCGGGCTTCCTCGCGCGATGAGCGCACGTGGCCGCCTCGTGGCCGCACCTTGCGCTGGCGGGGCTCCTCGGGCTTCCTCGCGCGGTGAGCGCACGTGTTCGCCTCGTGGCCGCCCCGTGTGCTGGCGGGCCTCCGTGGGCCTTCGCGCGCTGGCTGCTCGGGGCAGCCTCGTGCCGCCCCGATGGTGGCGGGTCGCCTTTCCGGAGGAGCGCCTCGCTGGCACCACAGGGCACCGGCGTAGACTGCCACTGCACCTGCAGCACCTCGCAGCCTGCATCCCATAGATTGCGCCACTTAGATTGCACAGCACTGTTTGGGGTCCACGCTGGCGAACATTTTCTCGGCGGAAAAACTGAAAAGCAGGCGGTGCACGTGTCCCAACACTCGGAGGCCTGACGTAGGCACGCGCATATGGAGGCCCCATGCCGACTCACAGCTCCATCGTATTCCCCCCCGCTGACACGACGACGGTCGTCATACCCGACGCGGCACCCCGCGATGGCACAGGATGCGCCGAAGCGCTGGTGACCTCCCCGTCGGCATCCACCGCGAAGGACGACCGGACCGCGTCCGCGGGGCTGGAGCTGAAGACCTCAGCGCCCGTCTGGACGAAGGCGAGGGAGTCGTCGTCCTCCGAGGGCCTCGGGCTCGAGAGCTCATCCTCGCCGTAGCACTTCACTTTCGGACGCTGGCACAGTGGCACCTCCGCCGCTGCAGGAGCCTGCGCCGTGCGGTACAAGTATACCCCCTCCTTCTGCATTAGCGAGAGAGTGACCGTGTCCCCGCCGCCATCCGAAAGGTCTTGCGGGAGCGCATCGTCGTAGAAACCATCCTCGGCCGCGATCGTGGCGAACAGCTGGTCCTGGCTGAGGCCCCCTGGCGCCGACTGCGAGGCGGCCACGAGGCGGATCATCACGAGGGCGACGGGCATGCTGCCAAACATGGCGAGTGCGATAACAGACGTAGCCGTCCGGCCAGGGTCAGGTGGAAGTTTAGAACTTTGGTGGGCGCGTCTAGAATCTGCGAGCTTGAGCCCAAAGCAGCACGGATGCATTATTGGTTTTAGCCTGCCCGTTTTGAAAAACCCTTTCCCCACGACAGATACAACACAGGTCCCGATGCAGACGATAATTCCAGCGTGGACCCCAACCAATGACTTGTTGCGATACTCCTGGCGCAATGCCGTCCACGCCGTTTGTGACAATGCAAGCCAGTGCAAAGCAATGCCTTGTAAACACAGCGCGCTGCTAATCGATGCGTGGCAGTGCTGCAGATGCAAGCGAAAGTAAAATCCCGTCGGCGCAGGTGGCCCTAATTACGTGTGCAACAGATGGCGCACCCTATGACGCCCAGGAGTTCCACCTGCCGCAAGGGACTCTATGTATGGATGGGAGTCATGGCGCATAAGATGGCGAAACCTCACAATGACGCCCAAAAGTCCGCGCCAAGACACATCCAAGTCTTCAGATGGCAGACAGGGGCCCCATACGTGCAAGCTTGTTCCGGCAGAAACAATGCAAGGGCAAGCCCGAATCCCTCTCCTCTTCCTCCTCCTCCTGCTCTACATCGTTTATGTCTTCCCCTATCCGAACGCAATATTGGACCAGCGCCATACGTGCGCAACGAATGGCGCAACCCATGGCGAAACCTATGACATCCAAGAGTTCCGACTGGCGCAAGGGACTCTATGGGTGGGGCGTCAGTTGGCGCAACCTACCCATGACGTCCCAAGGTCCGCACCAGGACACACCCAGTTCTTCAGATGGCAAGCAAGCTTCTCTACTTGCAAGCACTGTGGCATGAGGAAAAAATGAAAGGGTAAGCTCAACTCCCCCTCATCCTCTTCCTCCTATTCATCGTTTATGTCTTCCCCTTTCCGAGCACAATACAATGTTGGACCAGCGCCCTAGGCGTGCAACGAATGCTGCAACCCACGGCGCAGCCTATGACATCCAAGAGCTCCACCTGGCGCAAGGGACTCGATGGGTGAGGCCCATGGTGCGTAAGATGGCGAAACCTAACCATGGCGTCCCAAGGTCCGCTCCAAGACATACCCAGGTCTTCAAATGGCAAACAAGAGCCCCTACGTGCAAGCACTGGTCCTGCAGAAACAGTGCAAGGGCAAGCCTGAATCCCTCTCCTCCTCCTCCTCCTCCTGCTCTACATCGTTTATGTCTTCCCCTATCCGAACGCAATGTTGGACCAGCGCCCTACAACGAATGGCGCAACCCATGGCGCAACCAATGACGTCAAAGAGTTCCGACTGGCGCAAGGGACTCTGTGGGTGGGGCCCATGGTGCGTAAGATAGCGCAATCCCATGGCGTCCCCATAACCACGCCAGGAAACACTCATTTCTTCAAATGGCAAAGCAGATATTTTACTTGTCAGCACTGGGCCGTGAAGTACGATTCAAGGGGAAGCTCCTTCTCCTTCTCCTCCTCCTCCTCCTACTCCTCCTCCTCCTCCTCGTACCCTACATCGTTTACGTCTTCTCCTATCCGAGCGCAATGTTGGACCAACACTACCTTAATTCATCTACGGGAGATCAGACCCCAAACCGTAAAGCCTCGCGATGGCATGCATCCGCTTGGCAAGCGCCTTCCCAGATTCACACATATGTTTTCTCAGGGACACTTCGCAGCACACAGCGATGCCTCGCATGAATGCGCATGCGTTTCATGTCCAAGCATCCTCCTGTTTCTCCAGATGCGGCATACCCGACACGGATGGTGCACGTACCCCGACTCCCAGAGGCCTGACGTAGGCGCACGTATATGGAGGCCCTCTGCCGCCTCACAGCTCCATCGTATTCCCCACCGCTGACACGACGACGGTCGTCATACCCGACGCGACACCCCGCGTCGGTATAGGATGCGCCGAAGCGCTAGTGACCTCCCCGTCGGCATCCACCGCGAAGGACGACCGGACCGCGTCCGCGCGGCTGGAGCTGAAGACCTCAGCGCCCGTCTGGACGAAGGCGAGGGAGTCGTCGTCCTCCGAGGGCCTCGGGCTCGAGAGCTCATCCTCGCCGTAGCACTGCACTTTCGGACGCTGGCACAGTGGCACCTCCGCCGCTGCAGGAGCCTGCGCCGTGCGGTACAAGTACACCCCCTCCTTCTGCATGAGCGAGAGCGTTACCGCGTCCCCGCCGCCATCCGAAAGGTCTTGCGGGAGCGCATCGTCGTAGAAACCATCCTCGGCCGCGATCGTGGCGAACAGCTGCTCCTGGCTGAGGCCCCCTGGCACCGACTGCGAGGCGGCCACGAGGCGGAGCATCACGAGGGCGACGGGCATGCTGCCAAACATGGTGGGTGCGATAACAGGCTAAGCCTCCCGGCCAGGGTCAGGTGGAAGTTTAGAACTTTGGTGGGCGCGTCTAGAATCTGCGAGCTTGAGCCCAAAACAGCACGGATGCATTACTGGTTTTAGCCTGCCGTTTCTCAAGTCCCCACGACAAATACAGCACAGGTCCCACTGCAGACAATAATTCCAGCATAAGCCCAAACCAATGACTTGTTACGATGCTCTTGGCGCAATGCCATCCAAGCCGTGTGCGACAATGCAAGGCAGTGCAAAGCAATGCGCTGCAAACGCAGCGCACTGCAAATCGATGCGTAGCAGTGCGCAGCACAACACCAACGCAAACCAATGCAAAGCCAAAGTAAACTCCCAGCGGCGCAGGTGGCCCGAACTACGTGTGCAACGAATGGCGCAACCTATGACGCCCAAGAGTTCCACCTGGCGTAAGGGACTCCATGGATGGGAGTCAAGGCGCATAATATGGCGCAACCTCACAATGACGCCCAAAAGTCCGCGCTAAGACACACCCAGGTCTTCAGATGGCCGACAGGAGCTCTATACGTGTAAGCACTGTTCGGGCAGAAACAATGAAAGGGCAACCCCGAATCCCTCTCCTCTTCCTCCTCCTCCTGCTCTACATCGTTTATGTTTTTCCCTATCCGAACGCAATGTTGGACCAACGCCATACGTGCGCAACGAATGGCGCAACCCATGGCGCAACCTATGACATCCAAGAGCTCCACCTGGCGCAAGGGACTCTATGGGTGGGGCCCATGGTGCGTAAAATATCCATGGCGTCCGAAGGTCCGCGCAATGACACACCCAGTTCTTCAGATGGCAAACATGCTCTTCTACTTGCAAGCGCTGTGCCATGAGGAAAACATGAAAGGGTAAGCTCAACTCCCCCTCATCCTCCTCCTTATCCTCCTCCTCCTCTTCATTGTCTGGTCTTCTCATTTCCGAGCGCAATGCAATGTTGGACCAGCGCGCTAGATGTGAAACGAATGCTGCAACCCATGCATGGCGCCGCCTTTGACATCCAAGAGCTCCACCTGGCGCAAGGGACTCTATGGGTGGGGCCCATGGTGCGCAAGATGGCGAAACCTAAACATAGCTTCCAAAGGTCCGCTCCAAAACGCACCCAGGTCTTCAAATGGCAAACAAGAGCTCCTACGTGCAAGCACTGTTCCTGCAGAAACAATGCAAGGGCAAGCCCGACTCCCTCTCCTCTTCCTCCTCCTCCTCCTGCTCTACATCGTTTATGTCTTCCCCTATCCGAACGCAATGTTGGACCAGCGCCCTACAACGAATGGCGCAACCCATGGCGCAACCTATGACATCCAGGGATCCGACTGGCGCAAGGGACTTTATGGGTGGTGCCCGTGGTGCGTAAGATAGCGCAACCTACCCATGGCGTCCCAAGGTCCATGCCAGGAAACACCCAGTTCTTCACCTGGCAAATAAGATGTTGTACCTGTAAGCGCTGGATCGTGAAAGACGACGCAAGGGGAAGCTCAACTCCTACTCCTTCTCCTCATCCTCCTCATCCTCCTCTACATCGTTTACATCTTCTCCTATCCGAGCGCGATGTTGGACCAACGCCACCTCAGCTCGCCTACCGGAGATGATCAGAGATGAGCCCAAACTGTATAGCTTCGCGCTGGCGCGCATCCTGTTTCGCACGTTCCTTTCCATATTAACACAGATGTTTTCTCAAGAACATCTCGCAACACACAGCGCCGCCACGCATGAATGCACACACGTTTCATGTCCAAGCATCCTCCTGTTTCTCCAGATGCAGCATACCCGACACAGATGGTGCACGTACCCCGACTCCCAGAGGCCTGACGTAGGCGCACGTATATGGAGGCCCTCTGCCGCCTCACAGCTCCATCGCATTCCCCCCCGCTGACACGACGACGGTCGTCATACCCGACGCAACACCCCGCGTCGGCACAGGATGCTCAAGATGCACTGAGGCGCTGGTGACCTCCCCGTCGGCATCCACCGCGAAGGACGACCGGACCGCGCCCGCGCGGCTGGAGCTGAAGACCTCAGCGCCCGTCTGGACAAAGGCGAGGGAGTCGTCCTCCGAAGGCCTCGGGCTCGAGAGCTCATCCTCGCCGTAGCACTGAACTTTCGGACGCTGGCACAATGGCACCTCCGCGGTTGCCGGAGCCTGCGCCGTGCGGTACAAGTACACCCCCTCCTTCTGCATGAGCGAGAGCGTGACCGCGTCCCCGCCGCCATCCGAAATGTCTTGCGGGAGCGCGTCCTCGTAGAAACCATCCTCGGCCGCGATCGTGGCGAACAGCTGCTCCTGGCTGAGGCCCCCTGGCGCCGACTGCGAGGCGGCCACGAGGCGGAGCATCACGAGGGCAATGGGCATGCTGCCAAACATGGCGAGTGCGATAGCAGACTAAGCCTTATGTCCAAGGCCAGGCGGAAATTTAGAACTTTGGTGGGCGTGTCTAGAATCTGAGAGCTTGATTGAGCCCACATCGGCACGGACTCATTCCTCTAAACTGCCCGCGCTTTTTGAATGAATGCTCCTGGACTGTGGCTGGATACTGGGAGGCACCGATTAGAACAGTTACAACCGAAGGAATGGCCAAAAAACCTAACAGCTAAGAAATCCGGGCCAGCGTCCCGGAAATATCTTAACACAAGCCTGGGCCAACTGTTTTCTGTTAGTACCGGAGGGGGTAACGTGCGCAAGAATCTCGGCCGGCTTCCTGGCAAGTTGGTTGAGAAACGCTGGGCCGGCTTTTCGGGAGAAGGTTTCTGAATCAGATGCTCGACTGCAGGCGGAGAAGGCAGCATGCCGCTCCGAACCTTCCTCCCCATGCACCCACGAAGGAATCGTCCCCCGAGCCCCCCAACCCCCCTCCCCTGTGCCAGACGTGTGGGCGCCAAACGCTCCCCTCGCGACCGCCGACTCAGAAATGGGCGGGGGTCACACCTTGCAACGCCGCTCGGACACGTCACCACCGAAGGCGACGGGAGGGATCGCAGACAGGCTCCAGCAAGGGGAGGGGGCGCGGAAGGGGAGCAGAGGGCGACGGAGGACGACGCTGACTGAGAAGAGGAGGAGGAGGAGGAGGAGGAGAAGGAGGAAGAGGAGGGGCAGGAGCGGAGGGGATGGACGAGGAGGGCTCTCGGAGTTGCCCCGCAGGATGTCGTCGAGCAGTTCTGGAGGGGGGCACCGCAACTGCCTCGGCCAGGCCTTTAGCCGTCTTGGCTTATGTTGCTCCCATCGTATCTAAGGACGACGTCCCAGACATATGTTCGAGCATCCAGAAGAGTATCGAAGCAGTGTCGAAAGAGCATCGCCTCCCAGGGTCCGACACGTGAAAACCATCAATATTAAATACTTGCCTAATGCTCGAAATTCTGTCTGGTGGTCAAGGCAAAAAAGACGGTTAGAACATCATCAAGTCTTGACATGTCTGGGCCGCGATTGTGTTGGCCGTGTGGCCCGCTGGCGGGACTCTTGAACCAGCAGCGCCACTGGGGGAGCCCGTCCAGAGTCGGGCGTCGGGCAGAACCCCGCATGCTATTTCTGGGCCGGCTGTGGAGCGACAGAAAAGGAGCAGAAACGACATCAACGTACGCTTCCAGAGGTCCGCGCAGACTTGTTCGGGCGCAGAGCTGCCCCTCCCACACCCTTTACCCGGCAAGCGGGGCGCGCTGGGTATGGGGAGGGGGGTCCAGCGCCGCCCCAGAAAAATCCGACCGAGGCTCCAAAATTTATGGCTATGCTGCTATCTGTCTTGCTTGTCTTCTCGTTTCCCGCGAGGCGACTCCGATGGGGCTCCCCAAGAGGCCCAGAGCGGATCCGAATAAGCTCTGATCCACGACCACGGCACGGTGGCGGGATGGGCCAAATACGATTACGGTCAGGAACTTGTGCTAAGCGTGTCGCATCGGCGGCCTTGGCGACACGCTTCGCCGTGCAAGCGGACAGCGTGTCGCACCGCTCCGCGGGGCGGTAGGCTGAGGTAACTCGGGACGTTGACGTCTGGGGACCTGGAAGTGGTCAGCGTGTTTCGCCGAAGCGTGGTGGGCCAGAACCGGCGGCGCGACACGCTCAGGACAAGTTCCTGACAGTATGCTTATTTATGCTATCTGCTTGTTCTCTAAGTCGCGTGAGGCCGGTCGAATATGGCTCCCCAAGAGGCTCAGGCTCAGAGAGGATCCGAGGAGGCTCTGATCCACCAGGGCACGGTGGCGAGAGGGGCTAAGATACGGCGAGTTCGTGCCCTCACGGCTTCGGCACGGGCCCCTGACACCGCGTGGATCGCTCATCCTTGGGCCGTCGGCGCTCTGGGGAGCGGCGGATCGCTCAGTATCGATTGATCCTGGGCCACTGCCAGCGCTGAGCCTTGAACGCCCGCGGCGGGGTCGCCGCCGCGTCGATGCGGCGCGAACCTGCCGTACAGGCGGACTCAGAACAGAGGAACACCATTCAAAAGCATGAGGCCCACCGCCGGCCAAGATGAGGAGCACTCGAGGGTACCCACCCCCAGGATGCACGAGAACGTCCAACAAACACGAAGAACATCATAGGGTACCCTCCCCGAACCGACCTCGATCTTGTACCTCGGTCCGACTGTAACCCCCGACGTCGCGTTCTCTTCGCGGAATGTGCTCCGGGAGATCTGGGCCTCCTCCCGTGGGACTGACACGAGCGCCGTTCTCTGACGGACAGGGGCCCGGGGATGGCCCCCCAGAGGCAGAACATCGCCAAGAACATCCAGCATGGTACAGCAGAGAAAGCATGCGCCCACTTGCGCGTCGGCGGGAGAAAGCACCCGCGAAATGGAGAAGAGGAGGAGAGGAGAGGAGAGGACAGGAGGAAATAAGAGGAGGAAGAGGAGGAGGAGGAGGAGGAGGAGGAGGAGGAGGAGCAGGCGGAGCACGAGGAGCAGGAGGAGGAGCTGGAGGGGGAGCAGGAGCAGGAGGAGAGAAATCCCACGCGGGAAGAGAGGAGGGAGGAAGAGGAGGGAAAAAATATAAGGGAGGAGACGAGGACTGGAATCAATCAATTGCACATGCTGCAAGCTTGGTCGGCCCACTGGTGCCTTGGCCGCCCCCTGCGACTGCGAGAGGTCTACGTCTGGGACGTGCCGTCGCGTCGTCGTCTGGGAAGGCTTCGGGCTGCGCACAGGCA